GTTTAAATCGATGATCCTAGTTTACGACCTTTCTACATTGTAAACATTGCGCAAATATTCACTAGACTACTATTTGTTTAATTTTTAATAAACCACATCGAATTGAATGTATTGAAAAACAGTGGCGGATCCAGGATTTTCTGATGGATGGGAAGGGGGTTGGTGGCACACGTGACAAAAGGGGGTTCATCACACTCTTTAAATCTACAGAAATGGGAGTGCACTCTTTCAGGATTCATGTTAGGATTTTTTTGTTTTGAGGGAGAAACACACACTGTTGAAACCATTCTCAAGAGAGTAATGCAAACAACTCATGGAGTGGATTCCACTTTAATTTGGAATTGATTCAAATCCAAAACGTAGTGATCTCTCATATTTTAGACTCCTCAGTGGATTTATACTCAGTATTGGAACATTTTCAAATGAGTTATTAGTCTTGAAATATATAAATTCTGACCAGAAAAGCAAGGAAAATGCATCATTTTTTTCAGGGCGGGGGGGGGGGGGATACCCCATTACATGGTCCCCAAGCATTCGCCATGACCTTGCCCATATAAATTGTGGAGGTGTCGTGGTATAGTCATTCATTCACCTGACTCTCAATATAAGGATTGTGGGTTCGAATCTCAGCCAGGCACTAACGTCTTTTGGCAAGACATTAATCTACATTTGCCACTCTTCTCCCAGATGTAAGTGGGTACCTGTTAATTGTTTGGGTAATACTAATTGCAGCGCCTTCAGGAAGAACAGCACTAATGCTGGTGAAGCCTCCCTCGGTAATAGTATTATTATTAATATTAAAGTTTGCCGTGGCATACAAATGTTGTGTATACCCCAAAGAGGATTCAAATCGATGACCTAAAAGTAGTCTTCCGTTAACCATAATTGTGAAACATTCGAAGAATTACACCTTTTTATATATGATTCGATGCACTGAATACATTGAATACTTGTATTAGTTTACAGTTTATGCAGCTTTGTTTGAATATCGTCAAATGCATTGGAAATGTTATCTTAATAATTCTGATCATACACCGTATACATTTAGCTTATAGCCCCCGCATGACTGTTAAAAATCAACACAGGCGCGTAGCCAGGGGGGGGGGGGGCGGTGTGGGCGGTCGCCTCCCAAAAAAAAGAAGAGAAGAGAAAAAAGAAAAGGAGACAAGAAACAAAAGTAAGAGGACGTAGGAAGAAAAAGGAGCAGGCAAAGAAACATTTTTGAAAATTCAGACAAGGACTAAGAGTCGAGAACGGTACAACGAATCGTCTTCTTTATCTAATAATTTTATGAAAACGTCAATGCTTCCGCGCTTTGCGCGGGAGAAGGGTAATTGAATTCAGACAAGGATTAAAAGTCGAGAAAGGTACAACGGATCGTCTCCTTTCTCTAATAATTTGATGAAACGTCAAAGCTTCCGCGCTCTGTAAGTGATTTGCACGCTTCGCGTGCTCGCTACCGCCCCCTAAAGTCAAATCTTGTCTACGCGCTTGAATCAACAGTATTATGCCACACCATTATTGTATGTAGGTCTATCTATCTTTATTAATCGAAGTATTGTTATCTACATGTGTGTTCTATTTGCAGAGACCAATATGCGGGCTTGAAAATGGACTCACTGAAGGAAACCTTTCTCCTGCTTAAAGATAACATTAAACTCTTAGAACAGGTACGTGTCAATACATTTAGTTTGTAATATTCATGTATGCAGAACTCTCAATTTCATTTTGGTTCATGATTGCAAATTTTATCTTCTGGGAATAACATTAAATGATATGCAAAACATGACTGCTATCTATGGGGCCACTCTCAGGGGCGTCGCTAAAGGGAGGGGGTGGGGGTGCGACACCCTCACTTGTTGGGGTTTTGTCGGTAAAATTGCGCTGCCTTCGGGAAAAATGAGAAAAGGGGGAGGGGAGGAAAGAAAGGAAAGGAAAAGAGAGAAAAGAAAGAAAAGGAAGAAAAAAAAGGGGGATGAAAGAGAAGAGAGAGAGAGGGGGTGGTAAGAGCATGAGAGAGGAGGGGTCGGAGTAAGAGGGAGAGAGGGGGTTGTTGGTTGGAGTCGCCTCGTCGAGGGAGCAAGAAAGATACGCATAGATATGTTGCTGTGTCGGGTCAGCTATGTCGGTATTCTTGCTCGATCATCGTGTACTATATCAATGCAGAAGTTTGAAGTCGGTGAGATGTATTATGTCGGTCGGCCGGCAAATTTGTTTTCCCTACGAACTGTGAATTTTTATCTGACAAAGTATACATTTTTGAAATTATGACAATGATAAAGAGTCGAGGACGGTACAACGAATCGTCATCTTTCTCTAATAATTTAATGAAACGACGAAGTTTCTGCGCTTTGCACGGGAGTGCGGAACTGAGTTCAGACAAGGATTTAGAGTCGGGAACGGTATAACGAATCGCCTTCTTCGGCTAATAATTTAATTAAAGATAGATAGATAGATAGTTTATTGGTTTCCACAATATCTCATTTTACAAAGAGTGTAACAACATATTGAAAATGATTATTTTATACTTGTACATACAATGCCGGTACACACTATTCAGAATATTGTCCATTAAGTTTAACTTAAGAGATGAAGTGGCGGAGCCTATGGAAAAGCAGAGCTTGTTGTGGATAGGCTCCTTAAAACTAAAAATGACATAATTAACTAAAGTAAAGTTTATAAAATACAAATACACGCTAAAAGAGGGAAAGGGGGATTACAGGGATACATGAACCGATACTCACAATTAACTACAGAAGACAAGGAAAAAGGGAAGGGAATATATCTGCAGCTTATTGAAACAATATTAAAATATAGTTTGTTCTCGATATGAGTATATAATAAACATAGTGTATGGTCATACCGTTAGTTACTCATTGTAATGAACAAAAGTAAACAGTTTGGAGACAAGAATGGTCAGGAATCAGGAATGACAATATGTATTCAAATAATATAAGTACAACGATCTTTCTTCTTTCTCTAATAATTTGATAACCGTCAAAGCTTCCCCCATGCACCCGCGCGACTAGTCCAGCCTCTGTACCGTTTTCGTTTAGCGCACCCAATCAGCTGATAAAATAACACACCCTCAACGTTGAAAGTAGACCTAGCCATTCCTCTAAATCTGGACCTCGAATGTGGACGGACATTTGGGGATTGCGCGATCAGTGGAGAGACCGCGCTGTGTGTGGGGGATAAAAAGAACGAACGGACTGAATCTGGACTACCGCGCGAAGCGCGGGAGGAAACTGAAATCAGACAAGGATTTAAAGTCGAGAAAGGTACAACGAATCGTCTTTTTTCTCTAATAATTTAATGAAACGTCAAAGCTTTCGCGCTTCGCGCGGTAGGGGCGAAAATGGATTTAGATAAGGATTAATGGTAAAGAAGTACAACGAATCGTCTTCTTTTCTAATAATTCAATGAAACGTCAAAGCTTCCGCACTTCGCGCGGAAGGGGTGAAACTGTTATCTGACAAGGATTAAAAATGGAAAACAGTATAACGAATCGTCTTCTTTCTCTAATAATTTAATGAAACGTAAAAGCTTCCGCGCTTCGCGCGGGAGGGGGAAACTGAATTCAGACAAGGATTAATGGTAGAGAACGATACAACGAATCGTCTTCTTTCAAACGTCATAGCTTCCGTGCTTCGCCTGAGAGGGGCAAAACAAGAATTAAGAGTTGGGAACGGTACAACGAATCGTCTTCTTTTGTAATAATTTGATGAAACGTTAAAGCTTTTCGCGCCTCCCGCGGGAGGGGAAAACAACCCCCTCCCTGCACCCACCTCTATAGGGAGCGCGCTATGTAAGTGATTTACGCGCTTCGCGTGCTCACTACCACCCCCTAAAATAAAATCCTAGCCACGCGCCTGATAGTTCGTAGGCAAAATAATTTAGCCCCCGGCCCCGGGTTTATACGGTTAAATTTGTAGACATTGATACATTGGCATTAATAAAGTTGTCGGTAATTGGTGGCTAGTTTTGTCGTTAATCGGTGGCCTCTACACCCCCCCCCCCCCACTGAAAAAGGTTTAGCGACGCCCCTGGCCTCTCTCTTGATTCATTGTGGTCGCAGGACTTTGTTCAAGTCGAGCCAATTTTGTTTGACTGGGTTTAGTTTTACATTTCTGAAACAATTTCTGAAATCTATGTGTCAAATCTTCGATATCGAATCGGCAATTTGGTCATGATTTGTGATGCTATAACCCTTCAATTCGCTGCTTACAAAATATCTTTTTCCCGCTTTAATAATAGAACAGACTTTTTCCTTCAAACATTATGGGTGACCTTTTTTACCTACTCTTTCGTGAAAATTTCTCTTTCATTATGATATTGAGAAAGGGGATATTTTAGTGAACTAGATACGGTGGAGTTTTTAAAATCTAAAAAAAAAAAAAATTGAAACAAAAAAAGTACTGGTGATTACTATGGGCCTCGGTGACTCCATAAAATAGTAATTTTGGAGTCACCTCTTGCCCATAGTTTCAACCAGAACCTCTCAGTATATATTTGTGTATACTATACTATACATACAACTATACTATTGTAAGAGTTGAAATGAGACTCCTCCATGCTTGTATTTGTTTCAATTACTATTTGTTTCTTTCACATCATTTGCTTATCACTTACATATACATTAACTTCAATTACCCAACCCAATTCCTTCCTCCATTCATCTCCTCTACATACCAAGTCTTCCATCTCAACTGGAATGTTCCTTTGTTCTCTTCTCATTCTCTATTCATGGATCTTGTGTTAATGCATTATGTATTTCCACTTCTTACTTATCATTGGTTCTCTTCTCCTTTACCTTTTGAATATTCAGTCTTAACTATTTTGCTATTGGTTTATGATGGACATCTTCTGAGTCAGTTGTATCATGGACTTATTACGGATGGACATTCATTGTTTTCTTTTAATAACGAATTCATTGTGATTGTCTCCGTCAATGTCGTCTTAATAACATTCCGTACATGTTTCGTCACTTTGATATCATGATGGTCACCGCCGGAAAGCCAGACGCGTCTTATTTGTCCGTACCACGGCGAGCCCAGATTGAGCTGGCGAGGGAAACCTGCGCATGCGCACTCGCAAAGGAAACCAGCGCATGCGCACGTAGAATCCGTTAGGGTGGTTAATAGGGTGATAGTAATTATACAAATCAATCTGTCATCAACTCATCGTCAGCTCAATCGGTAAGGACAGCGTGTTACTAATAGAACTATGAAGTTGACGTGAGGGTTCGAATCTCAGTTTATTCAGTTTTTTGCCTTTATAAATAGTGAGGCAAAGCAATAAATAATCAAAGTCAAATTGTTTGTGACCTCTTTGCAAGCTTTCGTAGCTTGTTATGTATGAAAATGAGTTCATACTGGAATCTGGGCTCGCCGTGGTACGAAAAAATAAGACGCAGCCGGGACAGAATCAAGATAGTGATTTTACACATGTAAATATACTTGTGCAGAAGATAATAACTCGCTTAAATCATGGAAAATCGATGTACAGTTCTGATTTATAATCGGAAATTGTTGTTCCGTGTACCGTATTTTATATTGAAAAACATGTTGATATTACCAGATAGAGGTTATATTTGGATTGGTTGTGATTTAAAATCCCGTTTCCCCCTATTTCCTCATAATATTCCAGAGTTACAACGCACAGGGCTTATAAAGATCATGGCCTTTTAATTGTTTTATAAGGTCATGGGTGTGTGCGAAAGTGTGCAAATCAGTAATAATACATTTCATATCACCAAAATCGTCTGCTTTTCAACTTTGCTGCTCCCCATTGGGGATGTTTTTATTTAAGACACACTCTTTCAGAGCACACCATCCAAACAAAACCCAAGAGAGGGAAAATGCTCCTTTGTCAATGACCGAAAGTGCTTACGCAGTCGTTATTGTTAAAACAGCTGAATGTTCTCATTAAGATGCACATAATTCAGAAGGCGGTGACTATCATTGGATCAAAGAAAGAATCACGTCGAATGTCCATCCGTAATAGGTCCATGGTTGTATATTGATTTAGGGCTCTTCTACTTTTATGTTGGAGATTTAAGAAAGAGGATTTATTTGAGTTTGGCAGTGGTTTTTAGGATGATTGGTGTTTTAAATTGATATTGGTGAGAGGTACATTTTTATTAGTTTACACTATTCTTATACACTATACTATATTTACATTATACTATACTATTCTCTACTATATACTGTAGTGATTGAATCAAGCATTCCTAATAAACATGAAGCCCGTTTTCTACTCAATTTCCCCAGAGCCATCCATACAAAGAGTTTGACCAATTTGAATCAGTTGGTCACAACCATGACGTGTATTATTTTCTTTTGTGCTTGCCTAGCAACGCAGTATTCACCATATATACATCTTTCTTCATAATTATTGTCCCTACTTTTTAAAAACTCCTCATCTTATTCTTTTCGTTTGGCTCATGTTTAATGCAGGTAGCAAAGTTATCTTCGAGCACCTGAAGGACACGCGGTCAGAATTATGCAAGGATGAAATCGAATCCGATCTTCTCCGAGTAGTTCCGATCCTACTCGAGTGTCCAGCCTTCGACAGACCGGATAAAGAGTGGGGTGATCGAATCATCAGAGAAATGGCAGAAACATTGATCTTGATGCATGAAGCAGCAAAGAGGAACTACGAAGTGCTTGGTAAAAACAAGATCAAAAGTGGCTTGAAGCATAATATACACTGATATATCTCAGGCCAGGGCATTGATTTGATTTGATTTAATTTGATTTGATTTATTGGTTTCTGCATCTTTTTTTCTTTTTTCATCATACATTTTCATGAACATAATATGGTTTGATACAATGTTTTAAGTGAATATAATTTTATACAGATAATAAACAAGATTAAACAAATATATTGAATGCATAATTAACATACATTAGATGCAGGAGGGCTACAGAAATAAGCAGAGTAGCTTGACGTGCCCGCAGCCCTCAACTTAGATACAACAATACAAAATATAAATAAAAAAGAGTGTGACTTGCAGAGAAGAACAGGAAAGGAGAGAGAAGGAGCGTTGGTAATTATACAATAAATCTCATACATCTGCTGATTGAATGCAGGTTCATTCACGAATGGATTACACATCATTGTTGAGTAAACAGTCAATGTACACACAAACATGAATACAGTAAAATTACACACGACAGGATCAATACTTAGACAATAACATAGTTTTAACTGCCTTCTTAAAAGAATACAATGTCCTAAGGTTTCTTATTACAATGGGCAGAGAGTTCCAGATGTCTGGGCCGGCATGTCTAATGGATTTGAGAGCCAATGCGGTTTTTGGATTTCTTAAATGGAATTTTTCAGTTTGCCTTGTAGGGTAGGAGTGGATGGTTTTATTCATATTAAACAATGGGGGAAAGTATGAAGGGAGTAGACCATTTTGTAAGCGAAACATGAAAAGTGCTACTTGTAGAAAATGTATATCATCAGCTTTTAGAGTTTTTAGTTTTGAAAACAAGGGATTGGTGTGGTCGCGATAGGAAGAATCAGTACATATACGCATGGCTTTCTTTTGTAACAGTAAAATGGCGTCAACGTTGCTTTTCGAATTTGCCCATATAATGTTACGATATGAAATAATAATAATAATAATAATAATAATAATAATAGTCTAATAGTCTAATAGGCAGTATTAATGAATTATATAACATAAACAAGATATTTGAAGGGACATAATGTTTCAATTTACAGAGAATACCAATATTACGGGAAATAGTATTAGAAATATATTGCACATGATTATTCCATCTCAGATTTTCATTGATCAAAACACCAAGGAACTTTGTGCTATCCTTTTTTTCCAATATTTCACCATACAAAGTAATTTCAATGTCAGGAATATCGTTATTTTTTCTGTTCTGAAAGTATATATAGTTTGTTTTCTTTAAATTAAGAAACAGTTTATTACTTCTAAACCATTTTGATAATTTTGGTAATTCAGCGTTAATATTTCTTAAAACGATCTGAAAATCTGAATTGGAACAAAATGCATTGGTGTCATCAGCGAATAAAATATACTGTAGTGCATTTGATGAATTATAAATATCATTTACATATATCAAAAACAACAAAGGGCCAAGGATTGACCCTTGTGGCACTCCACAAGTTATAGATACTAATTCTGATTCATTTGAATCATAACATACATATTGTTTTCTATTTGGTAAATAATTTTTAAACCATTGTATAGCAACACCCCTCAATCCATAGTATTCCAATTTACGTATAAGTATTGTATGGTCAAGAGTGTCAAATGCAGGATTTTTTCGAAGGGGGGGGGGTTAAAATTTGAAAATCGCGCCCCAAATTTCGCAACGACTCAGCCAGCCGCTGAATAAGCAGGGGAGGGGGGAGGGGGGAGTTGGGGGGGGGGGGGATAAGAGCATCCTTTTTTCCCCATTTTTTTAAGGAAAAATTTCGCAACGACTCAGCCAGCCGCTGAATAAGCGGAGGGGGGGGGGGGTTTGTTTTGTCCCGGAAATTGGAAAATTATGCCGACCGATATTTCGTTCAGTAGGGGGGGGAGGGGGTGGGGGTAAGGTAATTTTTAATCACCGTTTAGCACATAATTTTTTTTTTTGAATTTTGTTGAGGGGGGGGGGTAACCGCAAACACCCCCCCCCCCCCCTGCGGAGGCGTATTTCGATTTTATAACATGACATTATCAAGGTAAATTAAAAATATGTAGTTTGTAGGGGTCTACTTTTTCCAATTATCTGGGAGTCATTAGTTTATAATAAAAAACATTTCTCAGTCTTGAACTTCAAGGAAACTCATAATAAATTGACTACAACTAATTTTTTTTTTAGACTGACTTGAAGCGTAGAATGAGCCTTGATAAATTCGACCTTTGGACCATAAAATAAACTATTTTATTTTCGATTGACAGTTCGTTGGTGTGATAAGGACTCGGACCTTTTAACCAGAGTGATTAAAGTCTACCTACAGGCATTCAGGAATCTGCTGAAGTGTTGTTGGGACAATACTGTGCCGATACCACGTGATAACCTTTACTTAGCGATGCTGGAAATCTTGAGACAGGTTCGTATGTTTGTGAAACGGAAAATGATTTCATTTTCAATTTAAAACAGTTATTGGTCGTTTTGTCTGTCTGACTTCATGTTTGTTTTCATGTGACGTATTATCACAATATGAATATTCATAGCTGTGAAATACATAGTGATGTAGACCTCTATCAACAGAACGTAACATAGTCTGATGCATACTGTTGGGGCAGGCGCGGATCCAGGATTTCTTAGGGGAGGGGGCCCAACTTTTTTTTTTTTTTTGCTCCCGAAAATTTGAAAATCGCGCCGGCCGAAAAGTCGCTCAGTGGGGGGGGGGGGGGGGGGGGAGGGGTAAGCGGACACTTTTTTTTATGGTCCTCGAAAATTTTAAAATTTGCACCCCCCCCCCCCCCTTGAGCGCCAGGGGGGGGGGGGGGGGCCCAACCCCCAAAAAGGTAAAAATCGCGTGATTTTACATTATTTTTTCTCAAGGGGGGGGGGGCCGGGCCCCCCGGGCCCCCTGGATCCGCCACTGTGTTGGGGATAGGTTGAGCATTTTACCTTTCAACTCTTCCTGTCAGCAACCTTTACTTTTACCTCTCTTGATGTTTATTGTTGCACACCCAGTGGAAGATTATGCACTCATTGATACGCAATGGCGGATCCAGGGGGGGGCCGAAACGGCCGCGGCCCCCCCCCCCCCCCCTATTGGCGGCGCAAAAAAAAAAGAGAAAAAAAAGAAAGGAGAAGAGAAGAAAAAAAGGAGAAGAGAAAAGAAGGAGAAGAGAAAAGAAAAGAAAAGAGAAAAGAAAGAAGAGAGAGAAAGAGAGAGAGAGAAAAAAAAAGAAGATACCCCCCCCCCCCCCCCACCTCACTCCCACTCCGGGGTCGGAGGGACCGATTTTGTGTTCCCAAAATTTCCGATAAAGGGTTACTTTTCACGCAACAAAGTCCGGCCGAAATACACACAAATCCGGCCCGCACTGACTTTACAGACCGAAGATAAAGGGGTGCTTTCAAACTAAGAGAGGAAACGTATATGTGCGTACCCTAGATAACACTGAGTGGGTGGGGGGGGGGGGGGCGGGTGGAAAGGGGAAGAGAAAAGTCGGGTGAGAAAGGGGGAAAGACAAGGAAATGGCGCTAAGTGACAGTAACGACGAATAAGGGAAAAACTGTAATCGGGAGATTTGGGGTCATTCCAGAAGGCTTGGGAAACGTTATTGAATAGAGGGGGCCGGGCCGGCCGCATAAAATCTCGAGCCACGGATTCAAAGTTAAACGTTACAAACAGCCCCTGCTTTTTGAAAAAAAATGAAAAGGGCACAATATTTTGGATGTCTTTCAAATAGAAGCTATATACTAAACAGTCAAATTTTAAATTAACGGTATAGGGCCGCTTCACAACTCTTATTTTGCCCTTCATTTGGATTCAGCTCATACCAACTCGCTTGTGCTTATATTTAAACTCATGTTGGTAGTGATAATGGACAGGGGCGGCGATCCTGGGCCCGATAGAGGGACACGTCCTCCCGGAAATTTAGACATATAGCTAGAAAGAAATATACATATTGGACTAAAGGATTTTCTAGAATGCATAATTTCAGCATTCTACATTGCAAAATCTCGCTTGGTCGCTACGCCCCGGCCCTCGCCCGATAACACAAAACTAAGATATAACGCTCCCGGTCGCGATTATTTCATGGTTGGTGTATAAATAGATTTTTTTCCCCCTTTCATTTCTACTGACCTAATTGTATGCTATCAAAATCATGATTGTTTCATTTTCCCTTTAAAGCATGAGTAGCTAGGGGCGGTAGCGGCAGTAAGAGGACATAGGACGGAAAAAGGAGCAGACAAAGAAACATTTTGACAAGTCTAAAACGGTACAACAAATCATCTTCTTTCTCTAATAATTTAATGAAACGTTAAGCTTCTGCGTTTTGCGCTTGAGGGGGGAATCTGAATTCAGAGAAGGATTGAGGGTCGGGAATGGAACAACGAATTATCTTCTTTCTCTAATAATTCAATGAAACGTTAAAGCTCCTGCGCTTCGCGCGGAGGGGAGAAACTGAATTCAGACAATGATTAACAACCGAGAACGGTATGAAAGTTCAAAGCTTCCGCGCCTTGCGCGGAAGGGGGAAAATGAATTCAAACAAGGATTAAGAATCGAGAATGGGACAACGAATCATCTTCTTTCTCTCATAATTTAATGAAGCGTCAGAAGCTTACGCGCTACGCGGGGGAGGAGAAAAACTTAATTCAGACAAGGATTTAGAGTCGAGAATGGAACAACGAATCATCTTCTTTCTCTACTAATTCAATGAAACGTTAAAGCTCCCGCGCTTCGCGCGGAGGGGAGAAACTGAATTCAGACAATGATTAACAACCGAGAACGGTACAACGAATCGTCTTCTTTCTCGAATAATTTAATGAAACGTCAAAGCTTCCGCGCTTTGCGCGGGAGAGGGGGGGGGGGGGGAACTCAATTCAGACAAGGATTAAGAGTCGAGAACAGTACTCTTTCTCTAATGATTTAATGAAACGTCAAAGCTTTCGCGCTTCGCGCGGGAGGGGGTATGGAAACTGAATTCAGACAATGATTAAGAATCGAGAACGGTACAACGAATCGTCTTCTTTCTCTAATAATTTAATGAAACGTTAAGCTTCTGCGCTTTGCGCTGGAGGGGGGAATCTGAATTCACAGAAGGATTGAGGGTCGATAATGGACCAACGAATTATCTTCTTTCTCTAATAATTTCATTAAACTATGAAAGTTCAAAGCTTCCGCGCTTTGCGCGGGAGGGGGGGGGAAACTGAATTCAGACAAGAAATAAGAGTCGAGAACGGTACAACGAATCGTCTTCTTTCTCTAATAATTTAATGAAACGTCAAAGGATCCGCGCTTCGCGCGGGAGAGGGGGGGGGGAGGAACTCAATTCATGCAGACAAGGATTAAGAGTCGAGAACGGTACTCTTTCTCAAATGATTTAATGAAACGTCAAAGCTTACCGGGAGGGGGTATGGAAACTGAATTCAGACAATGATTAAGAATCGAGAACGGTACAACGAATCGTCTTCTTTCTCTAATAATTTAATGAAACGTTAAGCTTCTGTGCTTTGCGCTGGAGGGGGGAATCTGAATTCAGAGAAGGATTGAGGGTCGAGAATGGACCAACGAATTATCTTCTTTCTCTAATAATTTCATTAAACTATGACAGTTCAAGGCTTCCGCGCTTTGCGCGGGAGGGGGGAAAACTGAATTCAGACAAGAAATAAGAGTCGAGAGTGGTACAACAAATCATCTTCTTTCTCTAATAATTCAATGAAACGTCAAAGCTTCCGCGCTTTGCGCGGAGGGTGGAAACTGAATGCAGACAATGATTAAGAACCGAGAACAGAACAACGTATCGTCTTCTTTCTCTAATAATTTAATGAAACGTCAGAGCTTCCGCGCTTCGCGCGAGAGAGAGAGAGAGAGAGAGGGGGGAGGGGACTCAATTCAGACACGGATTAAGAGTCGAGAACGGTACTCTTTCTCTAATGATTTAATAAATCGTCAAAGCTTCCGCGCTGCGCGCGGGAGGGAGTATGGAAACTGAATTCAGCCAATGATTAAGAATCGAGAACGGTACAACGAATCGTCTTCTTTCTCTAATAATTTAATGAAACGTTAAGCTTCTGCGCTTTGCGCTGGAGGGGGGGGGGAATCTGAATTCAGAGAAGGGTTGAGGGTCGAGAATGGAACATCGAATTATCTTCTTTCTCTAATAATTTCATTAAACTATGAAAGGTCAATGCTTCAGCGCTTCGCGCGGGAGGGAGAAAACTGAATTCAGACAAGGAATAAGAGTCGAGAATGGTACAACAAATCGTCTTCTTTCTCTAATATCAATTAATGAAACGTCAAAACTTCCGCGCTTCGCGCGGGAGAGGGGGGGGGGGAGCAGGGGGGAGGAACTTAATTCAGACAAGGATTAGGAGTCGAGAATGGTACAACGAATCCTCTTCTTTTTCTAATAATTTCATGAAACATTAAAGCTTCTGCGCGTCGCGCGTAATGGGGGGGGGGAGGGAAACAGTGAGCTGCTCGAATATGAATTTGTTATATCTTTTCTCGTATATTTTGGTGATAAATAACACTTTCACAAAATACATATTATCCTCAAATTTTGCTTGCTCGCTTCGCTCACTAGCCGAATTGTGAAACCAGAAAATTACTTTTTCGGGCAAGAGGCTTCAGCCCCCCCCCCCCCCCCCCCCCCGATGAAAATGTCAAAAAAATTACCGGTATGGTGCTTCTAATATGACCTTGTCAGTATTGGTATGTTGAGTTGAAAAAACGGTCCGCGCAATTTTCAAATTTCCGGCCCCCCCCCCCCCCCCCCCCCCCTATTGGAAAATCCTGGATCCGCGCCTGGATACGTGTTTCAGTATTGAGCCTCTATTTGTACAATTAAAGGGCAATCCAACCCTTTTAATAAGTTCACATGTATGTAAGAAGAAAATTGAGTTAAAGAGAATGGCGAAAATTTGAAATAAATCGGACCAATAATAAGTACATTATGAATGTTTGCAATATGAGATCACTAAGTTTATGCGTATCTCAGTCAGTGGATTGTGTCGTAGTCACGGATAACTCTTCCGTTTGTCGTGTGCACAAATATCACTAATTATTGTATTTCTCCTTAGTGCCTTCTCCCTTCGGACACTACTAAAAAACAGTATGGATAGCATATTATTATAAGACCTATTAAGAGGATAGACCCTCCTGAATCATGCCTTTTTGATTTTTTTTAATAACAATGTTGTGTGTCTGAACAAAAGGGAGAGTTGACCGCCACTTCATCCTCGAGACATTACCGATTTAGCCAATGTCAAGAGCCCATGCCTGTAGGAATTACAAGTTTCAAAAAATTATTGGCTTTCTCATTTTTGTCCGATTTCATTCAAAATTTCATTCGACTACTTCTCTGATTTTTCTTCTTTCATCTAGAGTAGTTTGCTATCAAGGTAGAATTTCCCTCAATACAAAATTGTCTCACTATGATGCAGTGAGATTGAAATAAGTTAATGAGTCATTTCACATACAGATCAATGAATCGCTTGGGTACAAGGTTCCAGTGAATCAGTTTTACATCCTTCAACCAGGAGATGAAGAAACAAACAGGAAGATCGAGAATCATGTTCTCCAGCTTCATCATCAGCATTTGCAACTCTCTCTCCTGGTATTTATTCAGTCTTCTTATGCTTCACATTTTCAGAAAAATACAACACTACACTACCAAAAAAAAAAACAATCATGAAATTATAGGCAAATTCATCATAAAGGCGTTGTTGACAATATATCACTGTTATCAATATGACGTTCATCAACATCATCATTTCCATCATCATCGGCATTTCCATCATCACCATCGTCATCATCATCATCAATACTTTACCATTATGATCTTCAGCATCGATCGTTAAGGTACTGTATACAGGATGAAGGCACTTGTAGACAATAACATATTGAAACTACTCAATAAAAACAGATAATTTTCAACTCTTTTATTTTGAACAAGAAGATAAACACATGTCTCAACAAATGGGGTATACTACTTGATATAAATATATTATCGACAATGAATTAAATCTGTATCAAGATCTATTTGAAAATATATCATTTCATTCTAGATTCTTATAAAGAAACTTATAATGATAGGTTCATGAGGATTTTAAACCAAAAACAGGCCCCGTAATTTCGGCCATCTCATAGCCGGGGGGGGGGGGGGAATCTCGCCCATGGATTTTAGATCATATTGACTCCCTTCTTGTTATTTTCTCCTCTTGCCCGCTTATGTAATTGAAAGTATTTGTCTTTGTTTTCTAAGTTTATTCAAGGTCGCCGTTCATTAGCTCACATGCCATTTCTACTGGATGTACCTCTGAAGTGGAAAATGCTGTGTAAGGAGTTTGACTATGCACGTCAGGTATGTTTAAGGTTCTCTTCATTGACATGATCTAGTCGAGAAAGCAGTAAATTTCTTCTTGATTTCTCGATAAATGAAAACTAAATTGAGTGAATTTAAGAAATCCTCTACAATGGTCACTATCTGTATATTACGCTACTTCTCATAACCATGAACTAATTTATTTGGTATGTCTTTATGAAAAGGCGAATAAAAGAGGAGATTGCAATTTCAGTTAATGAGTCATGCAAATATCATTTTCAAGTTTTTTATTGAGACTATACAATGATTAAAGCATTTGAAATAAAAATCCTTCAGATTTTACTTCTTCACTAAGACCGGTTTTAATTTGATTTCTTGATCTGAAGGAACAAAAATGAAACCGGTCATAGTGAAGAATTCAACTCTCAACGATTTGAATTATTTGTTTTATTTATCAAAACAAAACCAGAATGTAGCTAGAGCTTTAAGTTTTTGAATAGTTTTCATTATTTCTTACTTTGTGGAAAAATAATCCAATATGAACTTACACCACTTAAAGGTAATACAAAGTTTTGGTATTGGGTCATGAATTTGGTTCAAATGAACATATTGGAAGCATATGCGATCCTACAATATTCACTGAACGTTGTCGCAGTTGAAATCGAGTCTAAAGTTATGAAATTGTAAATAATAAACTCAAAATGTTGTATAGCACCCTCTCAAGGTCAAGATATTAATTAAGCTATACAACGATGTTTCTTGACTAAAATCGACCGATTAGCTATTCCCGTTTGGAAATTATATATCACATCTACTTATTTGAGATTTTCATGGTCGCAGCTACCATTGTACGGCAGTAGGCGCTAATTGAAATTTATCAAAATTTACCGGGAGCACTGGTAAATGTTTATATTCAATATTTCTCGAAAGCAGAAGTGTTTCAGGGGCTAATTTTTCTAGTGCTTATAATACATCTACAGGGGCATCCAAATATATCAAAATTGTAAAGAATCACTATCCACCCAATTTTCAAAAATTCCCAAAACTTTGTATTACCTTTAAAAATGTCGTTTAAGCGGGACTGCACAACTACTTGTAGCTACTTGCGCCCTCTATATATATAGCAAACACTGCCTAAGCGGTACCCGTTGGTCTCCAATGATCCCCTTTTCTTATGTTAATCGAGAGCTGATTTGATGAGATAACAACATGTCAGTGACCATGCAGGGAGGTCTAATTCCTCCTGGGATTTAATTGCATCTGAATTTCAGATAACCTAAAACATAATTTTTTATCTATCTCTATTTTCCTTTGTTTTCTCTTTATTCATTTTCATTGTTTTTGTGTGTGTTGTTGAGACCGTAGGCTATACCAAATCGCTTAACGTTCGTGCTTGAGTAAATAGACTAACTATCGCCATTTCTGTTTGGATTATAAAAACGTTAAGCAGGGCTCCCATTTAGCCGAGTTGTATTGGCGAGTTAAGGCGAGTTGTGGTAAGTTGCCTCAAAGAGGCACTCGCAATAGGGACTTTTAGATTTGCGCAACGACAACGTGGATTGCTACGATCGACGTCCTTTTAAAGCTTATCTGCCGTAGTTTACAGGAGGGATTAGACTGCCCTGCAAGGTCACTGGACAGGTGGTTATCTCATCAACTCAGCTCTCAGTTAACATCATGGGGGACCAATGGTCACCGATTAGTCATTGTTTGTTATATAGAGGGCGCCAGTAGCTACAAGTAGTGCAGTGGGCCCATTGGTGGGCCCGGTAGTGAGCACATTTTTTTTTTTTTGATCCTCAAAAAAATTTCAATTTGCACCCCCCCCCCCCCTTGAGCGTCAGGGGGGGGGGGGCCAACTCCCAAAAAAGGTAAAAATCACGTGATTTAACATGATTTTTTTTCTCAAGGGGGGGGGGGCCGGGCCCCCGGGCCCCCCCCCCCCCCCCTGGATCCGCCACTGTATTACGACTACGAGTGTAGGCGAGTTCACCTCGAATTACAACGAATCGGCGAAAATTTTAAACATGTTCAAAATTTTGGAACTGCTCGCGACTTCGAGTAGAGTCGTGGAATGTTGTAAAGAGTTACGCTAAGCCATACCGAATTGTTGCGAGTTATCCCGAGTTACAAGAAGAGCTTTCACGAGTTATCACCACAACTCGCCATAACTCGCTAATTCAACTCGTCTAAGTAGGAGCCCTGCTTTACAGAATACCTGTTATTTATCATTACCATTATTATTGACAGTACAAGGCTGGGAAGCTTACTTCGTTTCAAATTCTGTTTTGCCCGTGATATCATATAGCTCCACTTCAATAGGACATTGGACGATATTCGACTGAAATTCGAGGAAGCTTTCGGAATAGGATCAAGGCTTATGTTGGTAATAATCACAGCTGCATTAAACCTGAAAATAGGACACCTTCGATTCGAAATTGACGAAGAGAAGGTTGTTGAATCAGCTATCTCGAAGGTTAAAGATAAAGATGAAACGTCTCTCTTGCTCCCGTTCGAAGTCTATTTCAAGGATAACGTGTCTTTGGGTGTAAATGCTGGTGGCCCCATGAAGGTAAATATGAACACCCTTTCGCACGATCGCAACTACTTTCGAAACATCAACCGAAGGCAATTTCAATAGCTTTGTGCGTCGTCTATCTAAATGTGTAAACATGATGATGACGTATTACGTAATCTGAAAATTATTGATATTGGAAATACAATTGCGTATTGAAATTGACCTTGAATTGACTTTCGGAAATAGTTGCGATCGTGTAAAAAAATAACTTTATTTTCAAAGAAAACATGCAGAAATGCTTAATTTCAATGACTTAGCCAGAGTTTTGACGTCGTATGAACATTTTTTTTGTTCTTCAATCGCTGTGACTGTATAGGCTTTGGAGAAAGAAACAACGCTGAAAATAACTAGATTATTCACTAAACCCGGAAAATATTATAAAATGTGATGGTCAAAAGAATTACAAGCCGCTCTTTAACCGGTTTCCTCGGATTTAATTACACTTAAAACAACTTCTGCCGAACCTCTCTTTGTACTTTCAAATTAGTTATAATGCCTTTTCTATTTTAGATTCGTGATGAAGAACCTGAATATATACATTCGATATTGCAGTCTATACTGGACCGTAATTTTTAAATTAAAGAAAACCAGTATTAATTATTAGCTGTTTCCGATCTTGGATACTTTTTGTAATTTGGGGTTTGGTTTGGTTTTGTTTTGTTTGAAACATGTATTTTCTTTTACATTTCTCGTAAAGGAATTCTTTTCCCGACTGTTCGAAGAGCTGTTCAATGTTGAGAAGCATTCCATCTTCAAGAAACTCAACGATTCTCCTTCGTGTACGACATTGTGGTTTAACAAGGTCATTATCAAATTCATATTTCCATCTCGGAAGTTAGAGTACCCCTTATTACTAATCTCAATCTATTGTAAATGTAAGTTGATTATAGCTATTAAGTAGAGCGTCCGCCTCACAACCGGGAGGTCGTGGGTTCGAACCCGGCCGCGTCATACCAAAAGACGTTAAAAGACGGGAGTTGCTGCTACCTTGTTTGGCGTTCAACAATAAGGGATAATGCAACGTCGATCTGGCGCTGCTCAGTGGCTGCCGGGCACACGATCAATTGGGCAAAAAGAATTTCCATTTTCGGTTTAATAAAATTTGGAGTGGACCTTAAAAGAGTATTATTATTATTATTAGTATTATTATTATAATGTGTGTTGGCCAAGTAAAAATATGCCTTGTCAATTCTGGACATAGTGTGCACCTTCATTCGGATCAAAACACTGTGCAATAAATGTTTGTATTCTTCTGTATTTAAAACTTATCATAGGATTATAAGGACCTGGACAAATTGCGAGCAGTCGGGAAGCTGTTCGCTCTGATGTTCTACAATAAGGTCATCGTCACAATGCCGTTTCCTCTTCTTTTCTACAAGAAACTGCTTGGAAAAAGGTACACACCTAATCAACAATTTTTTATTTTAATCGAAGGAAGGCAAGAAATGTTGTGCGTCTGTAATATTTGGGGGCCATGGGTATAAAGTCCGTCATTCTTTTACAAATCGTGTTGCCAATTCGTACCATTTTCATTTGTATTCTCGAACTCGTATTATCGTATTATCGAGAGCTCATTGATATATTTTCATTTTGTTTAAAACATTTCAAAATAATTGTAAGTCCTCGCGAACTAACACGAGATCGGGCTTTCCCAACTTGTTTCTCCGATTACCTTACCAGTTGTATATCGAGTTTGTTGGACAGATAGCTCGATGTCAAACTCCACAAGCTCTTGGATAGAACATACCATACGCGCCGGAAGTGGGGGGGGGGGGGGGCAGGGGGGGGAGATTGCCCCCCCCCCAGTCAAAAAAGTGGGGGGGGGGGCAAAACGCATTTTTGCCCCCCCCCCAAAAAAAAAAAAAAAAAAAAAAAAAAACGCCCCCCCCCCCTCTAAATAATTTAAAAAAAACAGTAAGGGAGTAAACATGGTTTGTATTTTTAATCCGAAAGAACGTAAAAACAATAAAAACCTGAATTAAATCACATATACAATACCATTAAAAGAAAAAGGAAAGTTCACAGGAATTAAATTTCATAAACATTGCGCATGCCACCTATACGGTATTTATCAATGGAGGTCTCTATAATAGCGATACGCGCATATCGTGGACATATTGAGCGAGAATGGGAAAGCGTGTCCGTTTTTTTGTTATAGGGGTAAGAAGACATGAGCCCCTGAAGGCTGACGTACTGATGGGGGGGGGGGGAGGGTGATGTATTTCTTATTCGAAACAAGTGATTTACAAATATTGATGTTGTGACATGATTTTCCGGCATTTTTTCTCCATTTTTTTTGTAAGTCATACCTTTTTATGCGTTTGTTGGAAAATAAGAAATTCCCAAATTACAGTCAGGCAAAATACGCTTATTTAGAAGCCTTTATGTCATGGTCTGCAAAGTGGCTGGGCTCGAGCCCCCCCCCCCCCCCCTCCTTTTTAAAAAGTATGTTAAAGATAAAAAGAAAGAAAGACGGAGAAAAAAAATAAGTGACCTGCCAATGTCACAAATAAGATATAACAAATGCTCATCTGACCGTAATTAAATGCTTAAAACCCCAGAGCTTACGGGGGCTCCGCCCCCAGACCCAACCAACTGCCCTAAGGCAGGCCCCTGGATGCTTATCTGACCGTAATTAAATACCTAAAACCCTGGGCTTCCGGGGACTCTGCCCCCTGGACCACACCAAGGGCCCTAAGACGGCCCTTGGATGCTCATCTGACCGTAATTAAATATTAAAACCTCTGAGCTTTTTGGGGCTCTCCCCCCCCCCCCCTTGGAACACGTCAATTGCCTTACAGAGGGCCCCCGGATGCTCATCTAACCGTAATTAATGACCTAAAACCCCTGAGCTTCCGGGGGCTCAGCCCCTAGACCCCACGCCAATTTACGCTCTACCTGATCGATAATATTCCACTTTGAAAAAAGTTCCGCGGGACCTGCATGTAACGTGTAAGACTGGTGGTGATGCAGATTTTTCGTCTCCCCCCCTTCCGAACCTTTTTTCTTATTACGTCACTGCTCCTGGAATGTGAGCCCCCTGGAATGTTTGCCCCCCCCCCCCCCCCCCCAATCCCAAACTGCTTCCCGCGCGCCTGAAACATACCAAAGAATTATTACATGCATATAAATAAATGGCTCTGGAATACATTGAATGTAAGAGATAGCTAATGAATAGAGAAAGGGAGAGAGAGGTGGAATAATAATAAATATTGGATTCTTATATAGCACACGTATCGACCTTGCAAGGCCCTCAAGCCGCTCCAACATTACCTGGCCATGCTAGGCTGCCAATTTCGACGCTCACAGCATTTAAGGAATTCCTTCCTACCGGTACCCATTTAAAACCTGGGTGGAGAGTGGCAAGTGTAGATTAATGTCTTGCCAAAGGACATTAGTGCCGCGGCGGGACTCGAAAGAGAGAGAGAGAGAGAGAGAGAGAGAGAGGGGGTGAGGGAGGTACGTGCGCGCGCGAGAGATAGATAGCGAAAAGAATAGAAAGTCAGAGAGAGAAAAGAGAGTTATCCATCTCATATACATTTCAAATCATATTTGAGGATGCAATGTTCATTATAAAGAGTTAACAACTAAATTATTCATACCTCTTTCAAATTTGATGTCCTGGTTCAATTAGGGCCTTTGTTGAATACTTTTAGATGTAAGCTTTGATATCACATTCCGAAGAAACATAAATTGGGAGAAATGTTTTTTCATTTTTTACTTAAACAATTACAAAACTTGGTTTAATTTAGTTATTAACTCTAGCTGTTTGCAACAGGTGACTAGAGAAATAATACGACTCTATTTTAACAATATTCAGCCCATCCAGTTTCAATGATCTGCAACTACTAGATCCCGTGATGGCGAAGAGCATGCAAACATTGCTAAAGGCGAGTGACGATGACCTTTCCGACTACAGATTTACAGTGAACGAACCGGAGATCGAACTCAAACCAGGAGGCAAAGACGAGGTCGTGACCACTGCAAATGTGTAAGTGTAGTACGACTCAGTCAGAAAGATTTATACCGTTGTGTGTTTTTAAATTTTACATTGGACATGTCGATGTGGTCGTGGAAGTAGAGGAATTGTGGTTCACTTTGTCTTTGAATGTAATTAAAAAAACATACCTATATTGTTTATGACACATTATCTACATTAAATTCCTTTCTGAATACTAGTTCTAGAGTTATCAGATTATAGATTTCATACTAACGCAAAACATCATTTCAAAACAAATGTCACATAACATTTGGAGTTTATAGCTTTACAGTTAAAAAGTGCGTTTCTTGTATTAAATTAAGCACTCGATTTCGAGATTTCCACCCCTATATTGATTATGGTATCCTGAGAAGTAATTTTGAACAATAACAGAGATGCTTATTAATAAAGGCTGTGTTATCTTTACTCTCGTTTCCAACCAAATCCTGAAAATGAAGTGAATCCTGAAGTGTTGTTGGCTTTCAATGGAAATATTTCTTTTATTTTTCGAATTCCAGTCGAGAGTACATTAAGCTTTGCGCCAGGCACTACACAGCATCCTCCCAGTTCAAGGTATTCAGTAAGAGTTTTCGGAGCATGTTCGGTCGTTTCGGTCTTCACCAACGTTTCGCACCACAGGAGCTGATGTCATTATTTCAAGGAGGGGAATATGATTGGAAGGCCTTTCAAGAAGTGAGCTCCTCTTCTTCAAAATTCTTCTTCAAAATTCTTCAACACTCTTTTTTCCTATTTTCTCTCATCAACGTACTACAAAAAAAAAAAAAAATCACAAATGTACAAAAAAAATGGATGTACTTCGGACAGCCTGGTTGCACAAAATAAACAAAATATCGTGATTTTTGTTTACATAATGCAAAGTTGGTAGGTGCTTTTAGATTTAATAGAAGAAAATTTATTTCAAGAAGATAAAACAAAGATAATACACGCTGTATACTTTAAATTTGTTTCTTGGGAAATAAATTTGAAATTGTGTTAAATTTCATGGCACAGATCAATTATCTTTTCTTTGTTTTTGCTGTTGTTCATTTTCACTTTCATAATTTGCTCTTCTCTGCACAGAGCTTTGGTTATGAGAAAGGCTACACAGCAAACCATCGCGTGGTCAAGATGTTTTGGTCAGTGTTCCATGGTGATCTCACTGAGGATGATAAAAGAGACTTTCTGAGTAAGTCAAATCTTCACTGGTGATCGTTGACCGACAAAGGCCTAACTGTATATAAATAGACGTACCTATAGCACAGTGCTGCATGAAAAATAGATAATATAAAGACGATCAGTCACTTCGTCGTGTTTGAACGTATGACATTGATAATCCCTTTTAAAACATACTGTGACAAAACAAAATATTGTGCTGCGTTGGCATCTTTTTTGTCATTTTGACATGCATGGTGTTACTTTTAAGACACTGATAGTGTCACTGTGACAAGATGATAATAATTTAGTCATGTCTTTCGATCTGCATGTTTCAGGGCACATTGCTTTCATGATCCACCAACTACCTTTGATTATGTCGGAAGGCACTCTTTTTTCCAAAAGTAATGAAAGGTTTGAAATTCAGAAGAAGAAACAAATTCCCATATCATATAGGGTTCATTCTCCGAAAGTTCATAATTCTTAACAAATTATACAGGGCTCTATGTCATTTTCGGAATTAGAAACGTTTAAATTCATGGAAATTATGAGCCCTATTTCATTTTCCGAAATACGAACTTCTGAATTGTCAACCTTCAGAGTAACAGACTTTTTGATTTATGAACCTTGATATAAGAAGAAAACAAAAATGGACATTAATTTTAACCGATTATTCATCTTCTATGCGAATTGTTTTCAGGAGTCATGACGGGTGCTGACCATGTCCCCATTGGTGGAATCCAGGAGGTTAGACCTAGGATGTGGCCCATGGGAGGAGACAAAGATTGTAGGGGAAAACCCCCAAAGGACATGTGCCCTGAAGTGAATACATGCAGTGGTTTCATCGTGCTCCATCTCCCGAAGTACAGGAAAAGAGAGCATCTAAAAGAACGGCTCATGATGCTAATAAAGATGAAAGGGCATGGATTTCATAAAATACCAGAATAAACCTTGGACTGTCGTAGACAATTTAACAGTCTCGTATACGGACATTGACATATTATAAATCTAATTTCTTAGTCAAAGAAAAGTATTCAAAACTGGTTGATGAATTGTAACGTTGGGTCAGTTGCAAAATAATTTGTATATGATGAATAATTGAATTGTATAAAATAGTATCTGTTATACACGATGGCACTGAATTCGGTCACAACGACAAACCGACCTATTTTGGGCCATTGGGAATACTATGATTGAACATTTTGATTGGTCTGTAGTTGTTTTGGTTTGGTATTGGTTTCGTTGGTGTGACTGAGCTGAGACAACATACGATATAAAGAAAGAATGGAATATATCAAAATGCCTGTCATCTTCTGCATCATACATAAAGAACATGATCCACCACTTTTATAGTTGTCGTTTTAGGCTTTCTATTATTTTGAACATACTCGATTTTGTTTTCTTCCTCAAAATGGTCTATATTGTGTAGTTTTATTCATTTTTAATCATGACATTCAAATAACTATCCATTCAAGTTGTCTGAGGTGGAGGATATGGTAGTTATTTAAAGATTAAGTTTTGTTGTTAGTTTACTCAATCATTTGAGTGCGCTTCGCTATCACAACGTAAATATGTAACGAAGGCAACAAAAAAGGCGACTATGAGGATGATGAGGATAAGAAAAGGATAAAGACAAAGTTAGACACGTTCTGGTTGCCCTTATATACAAGATGCTCATCTGTGGGAATACTTATATTTCTAGTACTTTGGCACAGCAGAGCACACTGGCATAATACATGTATTGAATACAACCAGCTAGTCAATGAAATTGAGGTAAGCAACAAGCAGATGTTAACCAGAAAACAAACAGACTATATTATTGCATTTTCCCAGTAGATCTGGTTATTAGATGGTAGCCAAGGATTTGATTAAATTTGATGTAATAACAAATTGCTCAGATGGTGTCAAACATGTCTTGTCTAGTGGAAAAATTTATCAACACATGGATATGCAATATGTAAAATATAACTAATTTTGATGATTGCGAATAAAATCATAAAATTTCAGACAGATTGTATTGCAGCAATACGCCGATTTGCACATGTATATAAATGAGAAAATAATGTCTGATGTGCACCGTAAGCTTTAATTTTTCCTCTGCGTCGTACAGAGTACTACACTAAACAATTATACACTGATGGCGTACTAAAAGTGTTGTATATTCTCGCAGTTGTGTATATATATATATACTTCATTAAACTGATAATCCATATGAAAATATCTTTCAACAATAGACCAGTTCACGGTTAGCACATTACTGCAATGACCCCGAATATCCACAGATCTTCGAAACATGAAGAGGTCCCACTTTGTACATTTTGAAATAATCACTCCTACAGCGATGGAGGTGCTATATAAATATCCTTTGTTCAAAGAATCCTTTTCGAAGAATACTTCCACCTGTGTATCATGGAGTGCACTGAATGTGCATGAATGAATACTGTTACTGTACATAACTTTCATGAGCACGTATACAGTATTTCGTCTCCGTGTATTTCAAAATTTGTTCTGCAATGACCTTTATCTGCTCATGCTCAGACTGCAACCGTGAACTGGCTTATTATTTTTTATCATCGTGTATTTTTCTCCACAAGGCGCCATGTAGGCCTATTGTCTTGTGAGACATAGGCGCGGTTTCTTCACGATGATTTTTATAATTCAAATATAATTATAATTATGATTGAATGTAAATATCATTTTGAAGAAATTGGCATTGCTTTTATGTGGTTATGGGGGGAATACAACATTTGAATGCCAAATGGTCCACTGAAATTCGATTTTTTTTTTTTTTTTTTTTTTTTTTTTTTTTTTTTTTTTTTTTTTTAAATATTTTTTATAGAAGCATTTAGGTTTTTAACTTACAGATTTACTATATAAATTGTAAACGTTTTTCATGAACTTTGTTTATTATTTTTTCGTAATCATGACAAAAAGTATTGAATATTAAAACTTTGAATTGAATTGAATTAAATCGAATCGAATTGAATTGAATTAAATCGAATCGAATTGAATTGAATTGAATAGAATTGAATTGTAAGATAAATACGATTTAATTGTTTACATTTTAGGGAATCCAGCCTTCTTTCTCGACCCTTAGTGAGCACTCATTTTTTTTTTGTCCCCGAAAATTTGATTTTTTTTTTTTCTTCTTTCTTTTTTGTGCTCAAGAGGGGGGGGGGGGGAGGGTGGGGGTTGTCCCATTTTAAAAAATTTTTTTATTCTCAACGAGGAGGGAACAGGGTAAGTGCCCAGTATTCGTTTGTAACTCAACACCCCCCCCCCCCCTTGAACACAGACAAGAAACAAAAATTGACGTTAACCCAGACGTATGAATCATATTTGATTGATACGCGTCTGTAAAAACACATTTACACACAATGGCAAAGCTTGATAATGCTTTACCAGTACCTTTATTGGACTTCTTCTAGCGACCAATAACGCAGAAATACAACCAAACAAACAAACATCATCTGTCAATCATTATTGAGCTTTTTCTTATAGTTGTTAATGTGTGTTTTTATGTTACCTATATATTCAATCTTTTTTTCCTTTTTCTTATTAATATAATAATATTGAATTATTGCAAATGCCATGTATATTTTTACCTTAGTATGTATGTTTTGAATTCCTTTTTTTTTTAAATTTATTGTACATGTTCTGGGAGAGCAGGTCCAGAAATTGACTTGAAATGAGACCACCCTTTTGAAATAATACTAAAATAAACAAGTCAACGCACAGCGTAGTATCCCCTCGCAGGGTACAAATGGCCTATATACGTCAAAACACGTTACCTCCATTGGACTGTACTATTATATTACTAGGCAAAGAAGTTAACCACATTTTCACATATATAATTAGGTGTTATTGCATATTTAATGAGCTATGACCTTTCACCTTTCACCTACATACTCAGAAATCGAACTTATTTTGATACCATGTACCTTCATATTAGTTTCATTAAAATTCGTCAAACATTACTGAAGTTATCGAATGAAAACCAGATTCGCATATTTAATGAGCGTGAACCTTTGACCTACATACTCCGAAATCGAACTTCGGCTGTGTTTTGATACCATGAACCTTCATATCAAATTTCATTAAAATCCGTCAAACAATACTAAAGTTATGGATCGAAAACCAGATTCGCATATTTAATGAGCTATGACCTTTGACCTTTGACCTACGTTCTCCAAAATCGAACTTGGCCTGTATTTTTATATCATGTACCTTCATATCAAATTTCATTAAAATTTGTCAAACATTACTAAAGTTATCGATCAGAAACCAGAAACCAGATGTGTATTTTTTCGCATAATTAATGAGCTATGACCTTTGACCTTTGACCTATGTACTCCAAAATCGAACTTAGCCTGTATTTTGATATCATTTTGAAACCAAATTTGTTACGGACGCTCGCACGTACGCACGCACGCACGCACGGAAGGACGGACGACAGTGTTACTATAATAAATAAATAAATAAATACATACGAAAAAAGTTTCTTGCGTTCTAACAGTGGATGTTTAGCATTGAATTACATGTACCTGCACTTATTTGATTCTGAAATAATTGGGGGCAAAACCCCCTCCTGCCAAGGATTTAACGCCCCTGAATATATCAAACCATTTTTGTCATATATCAGTTTGTTAAACAATGTCCTTTCATGAAACATAATTTAGATATTAAGATATATATTTATTTCTTCCACAATGTGGAAATATGCTTCAAACTAGCATTACAATAATACAAGAAACATAGTACAATAATATGAAACACACAAAACAATTTAGCAAACAATTTTAAAATAGAAAAAATCTCTTCCACAGAAATGATTTTTACGACATCCCAAATTGTTAAAGCTCTTTTTCGATTAGATGAATATCTCTCCACTGCTTTTAAAGGGATCCGGTAACTTTGTCTCAGATTCTGAAACAAAATTTTGGATTTAGCTCATGCTGCAACGATAATTATAAACCTTTAGGCCAGTCAGGAACCCCAAGACTTTTACAAGCCGATCGCCTGTCTGATTATCAAGATATTTATGATTGGAATTACAAATTTTGAAAACCGTTTGCCGAACGGTTTTCATAACACTACAGTCTATTGGGAAAAACGAGTATGGTAAAACCGGTCACTCAACGATTTTTACTTTTTTGAGGCATTTCTTGATCATTTTGAAGCGCATTTTTTTAGGGCTTCAATATTACACCATATCACAGACACTGATAACACATAGGGCCGCGTATCTCAGATTTAACATTGTTAAACGATCCCTTTAACGGGCTATTCAATATTATATACTTCTCTTTAGAAATATCGCCATCTGATTGGTCGAAATTGCAGTCGTGATTTTAGCCTTTCCCTTATAGAGATGAACAATGCCAATAGTTCATGAGTGATATTCCCGCAAGATTATTGGTACCAGGAAAATATATGTTTTCCCGGCCAATTTCGTCATAGCAGCAATCAATTTCATTAACGTGCATTCATGTACGAGCAAATTTTCTCTACTTGTTGCTACACTGTTTCATTTTTGATGCGTTCAATTTCGTTTCTAGTCACCGAATTTTCTAAACATGCACATTCAAATTAAAGCTTGGTTCAGTCAATTTGGAAATGCTTAAGGGTCATTCAATTTCGCTAAAGTTGAGCGGGAGGAGAATTCTTTGGCGAATTGCGGTTTCATTTTCGTCTATGGGCAACCTCTTTCGCAATCGGGTCATTCAAATTAAAACTAGACCTCATAATCACAGTTAGTATGATGTTCGATGTTTATTAGGATATTCAGTATTTCATGTTCATTTATTTATTCTTTTTCTCTATGGTCTTTTCTGACGTGATTTCACATTATACCATCTTCTTATTTGTCTGATATATTTATATTGCATTTTATGTTTTCTCTTTCTTTTGACATTCTTTATTTTTGTTGAAACATCTCTTTATTCATA